TGTTCCCTGGGTCGGGATCACCCCCTGGCACTGCCCCCGGGGGTCACCCCCTCGGGGTGGCATGTCCCCAACGCTGCGCTGTCCCTGGTGGGCGCTGCCCTCCCCAGCCCTGGGGTCACCAAGGGGACACATCCCTGATCCTCTCAGCCAACACCCAAAATCTTGGCGCTGTGGGCTCAGATCCAGGATCTGCTCAGCCCTTGATGGTCCCATCCCAGTGGGGTGATCCCAGCTCGGTTTGAGGGCGTTCCATCCTGGCATGGGGGTCTCATCCAGGCATGAGAGTTATGTCCCGGTGTGGGGGTCCCATCCCAGTGTGGGGGTCCCATCCTGGCATGGGAGTTCTGTCCCAGTGTGGGATCCCATCCCAGTCTGGGGGTGCCATCCTGGCATGAGAGTTCTGTCCCAGTGTGGGGGTCCCAGCCCAGTGTGGGGGTCACATCCAGGCATGGGAGTTCTGTCCCAGCGTGAGGGTCCCAACCCAGTGTGGGATCCCATCCCAGTGTGGGGGTCACATCCAGACATGGGAGTTCTGTCCCAGTGTGGGGGTTCATCCCAGTGTGGAGGTCCCATCCCAGTCTGGGGGTGCCATCCTGGCATGAGAGTTCTGTCCCAGTGTGGGGGTCCCATCCCAGCGTGGGAGTCCTGTCCAGGCCTGGGAATTCTGTCCCAATGTGGGGGTCTCATCCCAGTGTGGGGGTCCTGTCCAGGCATAGGAATTCTGTCCCAGTGTGGGGGTCCCATCCTGGTTTGGGGGTCCCAGTGCAGCATGGGGGTCCCATCTTGGTGTGGGAGGTTCCCATCCTGGCTTGAGGAGGTCCCATTCAGGGGTGGGGGTCCCATCCTGGCATAGGGGGGGGTCCCAGCATGGTGTGGGGTTCCCATCCCCGTGGGGGGGTCTCACCACAGTGTGGGGGGCCCATCCCAGCATGGGGGGTCCCAGTGCCACATGGAGGGATTCCAGCCTGGCGTGGGGGTCTCAGTGCAGTGTCACTCCAGGTGCTTTCCAGTGACATCCCTGCCCCACACCTCCCTCTCCTCCCACCCCCCCAGGGCATCCCTGGAGCTGCCATCCCTGTCCTGCTCCCACAGGGGCTCCATGTCCCCTCCCTGTGCTGGATGGGGACCCCCAGCCCCTCTCCCAGTGCCAGCTGACACCTCCTCCTCTCCTTCCAGGCAGGTTTCGTGCTGACAACCTGAACAAGCTGAAGAACCTGTGCAGCAAAACCATTGGGGACAAGATGAAGGTGAGGCATCTCACTGGTGGGACATCACCAACCAGTGGCATCTCCCCCCACTCCCACCCCTCCAGGCCTGTCCCTCATGGTACTGAGGGATGTTTTCCCCCTGGAATTTTACTCTTGAACCTTCCTGGGGTTCTTTTGTCTTCCCTCTGCAGAGGAAGGAACCTGTGGGGACGGATGAGTCGGTACCAGAGAGTGCCCAGAACCTGGATGAGCTCACAGCTGATGTTCTGGGGGTGAGTTGGGACCCCAACTCCTGTCATAGTGTCTCCAGTTTGTCCAGAGCTTTGCCTGGAATTGCCCAGATTGCTGGTGTGAAGTGCTGTCACACAAGGGGGGTGTGACACCTGACCACCAAGCCAGGAGGATCCTTATCCCACATCCCACCGAGCAATAACCAACTCTTCCTCAGTGTCCTTCATGAGAAGGTTCATCCCTGGGGATTTGAGTCCTTCATTTATCCAGCCCAGGGTTCATCCCTGGGGATTTGAGCAACCTCATCCTTCCATGTCCTCTGTGTGTCCCTCCCTGCTCCCATCCTGGTTTGTTGGCTGCTTTGGAAGCAGCTCAAACCCTTCCAGAGCCCAACGTGTCCCCTTGGGTTGGTGTTGGGTGTCTCCAGTTGGCTCCCTCGAATCCATGGAATCCAGGATTCCCCTTGCTGGGCCAGCAGCCTTTTCTCCCCAGTGGTGTCCTCCCTCCTCCTCCTCCTCACCCAGGGGTGTCTCACAGGGTCTCCAGGTGTCCCAGATCAAGAAGGTTCGGCTCCTGATCGACGAGGCTATCCTGGAATGCGACGCCGAGCGCCTGCGGCTGGAGGCTGAGCGCTTCGAGAGCCTCCGGGAGATCGGGAACCTCCTCCACCCATCCGTGCCCATCAGCAACGACGAGGTGGGACACGGGGAGGGACACGGGACACGGGGTGGGACACGGGAGGGAGGTGAGAACAGGGGGAGGGACATGGGAGAGAGGTGGGAACGGGGAGGGAGGTCAGACAGGGGTTGGGCAGTGTGACACAGGGAGGGAGTTGGGGACGGGGGAGGGAGATGGGACATTGGGAGAGAGGGGGACGTGGGACACAGGGTGGGGACACGGGAGGGAGGTGGGACATGGATTGGGGACATGGGAGGGAGGTGGGGACAAGAGGAGGGAGATGGGGACAGAGGGAGAGAGGTGGGGCCAAGGGGGAGGGTGATGGGGACAGGGGGAGGAAGATGGGGACGGGGAGGGAGGTAGGACAAGAGGAGGGTGGTTGGGACAGGGGGACGGAGGTGGGACATGGGTTTGGGGACAAGGGAGGGAGGTGGGACATGGAGGGGGGAGGTGGAACATGAGTTTGGGACATTGGGAGGGAGGTGGGACACAGGGTAGGGGACACGGGAGGGAGGTGCGACGTGGATTGGGGGACATGGAAGGGAGGTGGGACAGGGATTTGGAGACACGGGAGGGAGGTGGGACAAGAGGAGGGAGGTCGGGACATAGGGACAGTGGGAGGGAGATGGGGATAAGGGGCGGGAGATGGGGACAGGGGGAGAGAGGTGGAACGGGTAGGGTGGTGGGACACAGGTTGGGGACACGGGAGGGAGGTGGGACACGGGAGGGAGGTCGGGACAGGGGACAGGATATGGGACATGGGGACAGTGGGAGGGAGACAGGGACGGGGAGAGAGGTGGAATGGGTAGGGTGGTGGGACATGGGTTTGGGGACATGGGAGGGAGGTGGGACACGAGTTTGGGATACGGGAGGGAGGTGGGGCACGGGGGGGGGGGGGGGGGAGGGGGGG